CCCCAAAACCCCAAAACCCCAAAACCCCTAATCCCTTTGGGTTTATTGAAGATTGTCAGATTTGAATGTGTAATTTTATGACTTATTATTGATTAGAGCCTGGCTGAAGTGCTGTTTTCACATTTTTGGGTCTAGTAACATGGTTTGCCTGTCTTTGAGGGATATTAGTATACACTCCTTCGATTCTAGCTCTTGGTCTAGCTATTCCTCCTCCTACTCTTGCTCCTCTATCGATAGCTCTATTTGCATAAGGTCTTGGAGCATAATCTCTAGCATTTCTTGCCCCATCAGCTCTTGGGATAGCATAAGGCATTTGTCTGTGATGTACTCTGTGATATGGACGGTTTATCATATGTCTTGGAGCGTCTCTTCTTCCGGGAAAATTATATCTTGCATGAGCATACCCATTATCCATCATGCCTGGATCTTCAAACCTTGGTAGATCTCTCCTAACTCCACCAGCTCTGGCATATCCTCCTTCACATTGACATTTATGAGCATCATCATATTGAGTACCACAATGATATCAGAATGAAGCTCCACATCTACAAGTCATTGCATTGCATCCCTCTATCTTGTACACCCAGATTCTTCAATTTGGGCATCTCTTCATTTTCTCTTTCAAAGCAAAGTCGATGGCCTTCTTATCATTAATATCAAGTTTTTCCTAAACATAAAAATTCGCTTACATTTCCATTAATCTCTTTATTCTCTTCACATGTCATGTCTAATTGTTAAAGCTAAGAGACTCTTGCTTACCTGGATGCCACTTAGTCTCTCACTCAATGCAGTACTCTTTGTTACACATTGGGCACTGGAAGTAGCCCTTCTTGTCTCTTTCTTCAAGACAGAAGACATACTCACAGTCTTTGCTAGGGCAGTTTATAAAGTTGGCTTCCTTCTGGACACCAAGTTTCAGTGAAAATAAGTTGTATCTTTCAATGTAGTTGTCATCTAGAAGGTCTCTGAAAGTAGCCATTCCTACTTCAAACTCTCAATCTTCGATCGGGCACTTGATAGGGATCTTGTTCTGATCAATGGATGTAGTCAGATGCATATAAGTACAATCTTTATGGAACAAATGCCCACATTGATCCAGAGAGTAAGCTTCTTGGTACTCTATGTCTAGAAGACAGATTTTGCACTCTCCAATCACATCATGTGTGGTTTCTTCCTGAGATTCATTTTGAGGATCATGTTTGTGCTCTTCGTAAAGTTCCGGATACTGATCTTTGGGATACATATCTTCCAAAGCCCCAGTTTCATTTTTGATCTGTGACTTTGATTCTTCTTTACTTGATATTTCTAAAGAGCAAATTTATCAAATGAAAGAGAACCATAAAAACCGGAGTTACAATTTTAACAAACCTCCCTATAACAGCTTAATTCCCAAGAACCATAACTCAAAACATCAAAACCCTCTAACCTGCACTCAATCTCCACCCAAAGTAAACCCTTACCACCTTCCTCCCTCTCCTGCCCACTCATCACAAACTTCTTATAATACATCAAGGATGTCTTCACCTCATTCATCTCCTGTTCTTGAGCTGCATAAGAGCAATCTGCGACCACCGCGATCGCATTCTCCAATGAATCTACACACAATTTTTATTTCGTCCCCCAAAATCCCTAAAATTCCCTTAAAACTTGGCTTTCAGCCTGGTGAAGCTCCAGTCTTACCTGTACAGCCACTGGAAAGGCCAGGGCCGTTCTTGCCGAAGAGATATCCCATGTAAAAGTACTCAAGGTAGCCAAACTGGTCCTTTATTCAAGACATTGCTTGTGAGAAGTGCTCGAATTCGATGGGTACTTTATCAATAATCTCCATTTTTATTTATGGGATTTCAGTTTTGTTGATAATCTATGGGGTTTTGGGGTTTTGGGGTTTTGGGGTTTTGGGG